GCCAACAAAAAATGCGTGAACTATCTAGACATTACACTTGATCTCAGATCGTCATCTTACAAGCCATATATGAAACCCGGAAATACACCGCTATATGTCAACCACAACAGCAACCACCCGCCTACAATACTACGCAGCATACCAGATGCTATTAACAAGAGGCTATCAAACATATCCTCAGATAAGCAATCCTTCCAGTCGGCCGCGCCTCCATATCAGGAAGCCCTGCGAAAGAGTGGTTTTAACTACGTCCTTAATTACAATCCCCAGCCACCAAAGCCTAAACGTAATAGAAGCAGAAACGTGATATGGTTTAATCCTCCCTACAGCGCCAACGTTGCCACCGACATTGGTCACAAATTTCTGCAGGCTATTGATGAATGCTTCCCACCACACCATCCCTTACATAAACTGTTCAATAGGAACAATCTTAAATTAAGCTACAGCTGTATGCCCAACGTGCACAATATCATCACGGCGCACAACAGAACTGTACTCGATCGCAAGCAGCCCGAGGCTACTAAAAATCCCGATAGGAAGTGTAATTGCCGTCAGGAAGAATCCTGCCCCCTCCCTGGCAAATGTTTAACCGAAAGCGTTGTATACCAAGCCACAGTAACGAGAAAAGACAACCAACAGAAAGAAACCTACGTTGGACACACAGCGGGCCCATTTAAAGTGAGATACTACAACCATACAAGCTCGTTCAGGAACCCGGATCATAAACATTCAACTGAACTGAGTAAATATATTTGGCAGTTGAAACAGTCCAACATAGAATACTCTATTCGTTGGAAAATTTTAAAGAAATGTAAGGCCTACTCAAACAAAACAAAACGTTGTAAATTATGCCTGCACGAAAAGTTCGTTATAATTTACTATCCCGAACTAAGCTCATTGAACTCAAGAAACGAACTAATATCGGCATGTAGGCACAGGAAAAAATTCCTGCTCTGTAGCCAGTAGTCAGATTACAAACATATATTTACGCTTTCCTAATGACGTCAAACATTTGTATATAACAACTCAAGTTACCTATAGGTTATAACATCATGTAAATACGCGATATCACCATTCACCTGATGAGTGTGGCAAGCCTAGCTTGCCATACGAAACAAATTTGTTGTGAATAAATGTTTTAAACGAAGTAACTCAAGCTTGTCTTTATATATATATATATATATATATATATATATATATATATATATATATATATATATATATATATATATATATATATATATATATATATATATATATAAATAAAATAATATATATTTATATGATATATATATTGATATATATATATATATATATATTGATTTGTCGTGAATAAATGTTTTAAACGAAGTAACTCAAGTTTGTCTTTTATTTGCTCTACTTTCGTATCGAGCACTCTATTCGTATGATTCGACACTCAATATACTTATTGACATTCGCCTATATATATATATATATATATATATATATATATATATATATATATATATATATATATATATATATATATATATATATATATATATATATATTACGCTTAAATAAGTCACCGTATATTCTAGGATGATTAAGTTAGGGACCATTCATTATTAATGACCGGGAGTGGGCTGGCAAAATTCACTTAACAACTAAACAAAATGTTCTGCCCCCTCCCCCTACATCACAAAAAAATCAACGACCTCCTTCACATGAATTCTAAAAAATAGTAACCCCCTCCCCCAATGTATATACATAGACACATGACCAGGCATCATAACTACATTTACTTGTGCTGCATATTTAATCAGAACAAACTCTGCTAATCCTAACATTAGACTGGCCAGAATTATTTTGATAAAAATTCTGACCTCAAGATTAGAATCCAGTTTCAGTGTATTTTCTACACTACAAAATATATTTTCCACTAAAGCACACATTATGTACTTAATACTAAATTAAACCTTGTATAAAATACCTAGTATATAATAGTCTCTTTATTGGGGGGCTGAAAACGACGGCCGAAGGCCCGAGGAAATTTTTAAATTTAGAGTCTCTGAAATGCCATTTCCTGCACTTTGGAGAAGATTTGACAGAATTTTGATGGTCAGAAAACAGCGTTTTAGTATGTTGAAATTTGCAATTTGTTTACAATTGAGTAGTACTAAATGGGCAAAGGCATATTTAATTGACTATACAGGGTGTATCAAAAAAAACTGAACAGATTTGAAATTGCTCTCAATTTCGAAAAACACCTATTTGTATTCGATTTTTTATATATATAGCTTCTTTGGGTACTCATAATGTAAAATAATGAAAAAAATTTCTCAAACTCAAATTTGGTGAACCAAGGGGGTGTGTCTTTTCCAACAAGCTAAAAATGGCTCGCGCACAAAATTTAAAAGTTTTAATCATATTTTGAGTTAATAAGTGGAAACTTTGTTTGGTTTCTAATTACTGTACAAAATTTCAGACAATTTGGTTTAGTTTAAGCCGTTTAACTATTCATTTTATTCTAAAAAATCAGCCTTTCGCATGCTTAATTAATGCCTTTACCTAATTTGCATATTACTAACATATTCAAATTAGGCAAAGGCTAATAATTAAGCATGCAAATAGCTGATTTTAAGGAAAAATGTAACTTTGCGTAAATAGTTAAACCGTTTAAACTAAACCAAATTGTGTGAAATTTTGTACAGTAATTAAAAACCCGACAAATTTTCCATCTATTAACTCAAAATATAATTACAACTTTTAAATGTTGTGCGCAAGTCATTCTTAGTGTGTTGGAAAAGACACCCCCCCTGGTTCACAATATTTGAGTTCAAGAATTTTTTTCCATTATTCTACATTCTAAGTACCCAAAGAAGCTATATCTATAAAAAACCGGATACAAATAGGTGTTTTGCGAAATTGAGAGCAATTTCAAATCTGTTCAGTTTTTTTTATACACCCTGTATATAATATTGGATAAGCTACAGGAAAGTATGGGTAATATCTTCATTCTTTGCAATTTGTCATGGATAATGTAGGACGGCCCTGTACTACAATGCTTACTCGTTCTCATGAGTGTCTTTTTTATTAAAATGTACATCAGGGAAACATGACAATCTTTATGGCAAATTCATGGCCAAAGTTATAAGATAGATGTTCGATTGTTTTTCATATTAGCTGCACGCATTGTACCTTGGGTATTTGCGCATTGCATTTTCGGTCTATCAGTGTTAATTGATTGAAATTGAGAATTCTGCTAGATACATGAATTAAATTTGCTGCCTTGCTCGCTCTCTGCGTTAGCAATAATCGTTACATGTCAAATTTTTCCCCACTATAATAAAATAACTGGACCCCCCCTCCTGACCAAATAATTTTAGGCGCCCCCCCTTTTTCGACAAAAATACCTCATAACCCACCCCCTTTTTTTGCCAGCCCACCCCCGGTCATAAATAATGAATGGTACCTTAAATTTTGATATGTCTTGTACCTTTTCATGCAATATTGGCAGCGATAACTGTGCTTAAAAGTAAGCAAACACTTTTGGGACGGCCAAGAATTAGCTGAAAAGGCCCTATTAAAATCAATTGAATAACCGTTACCATGTTCTCGCGATTATTGTTTTAATTAGTGGGTTGGTTTAACGAGGTCATGCAGGCATTGATCTGGGTCCACACTTTCTTGAAAGAAATGTCAACATGAGCGAGTATTTCCAAATCATACGCCGACAACGTTGTGCAGAGAGGCTTTCGTGTTCACAATATCGATATAGGGATGACATGTGGCGGCAAATGAACAGCAACTGATCCAAAATTGTTTACTCCTGCTTAAATGCATGTATCTTTCATAATATGGCATCGATTTGGGCATGGCATTTATCAAAATTTAAGATGGATATCGCTGAATACCATCAAACTTTTTTTAGTGTTATTGCTCATTTAGTTTTTATTTTGCAGCATATATATATATATATATATATATATATATATATATATATATATATATATATATATATATATATATATATATATATATATATATATATATTATACACTATATATATATTATACACTATATATATATATATACTATATATATATATATATATATATATATATATATATATATATATATATATATATATATATATATATATAATTTCGCTTACCTCAAAATTCCGCAACAGTCTGTTTCATCAGTAAAGAATCATCAGGCGGTATGACAACTTTCGAAAAATAGGGCTGCTTATATGTGTTTTGGCCGGAACGTGGGGGTGTGTGGGTGAAACAAAGCATGCATTCATCTATTGTTTGCGTTGTTTACGCGGAAATGCCTAATCGAATTGTGGGAGTGTATTGCTTGCGTTGTTTACGCGAAATTTCTTCCTATGTCTGCACGTAGATATAATTTCCATTCTTTTATTGAGTAAACGGTTTTGGTTTTCTTTCAAAATACAAAATTTTTCCTCTAAACATAAATTACATCGTTTTGATCCTCCCGTATACGAAATAGCGCGTTTCAAAATTTGCCAATTGATATTAAAATCTTTCTTGCTATCTTTCAATGTCCAAATATATTTCGAAAGTTCAGTTTTGTTTGAGGGCTCTTTATGCTCGAAAGTATAGTTATGGTTAGCCAAACGCTCTTTAAATGTAGTTGATGTCATGCCAATATAATTCATGATCATGTTAGGGTTGCTTGTTGTGACTGTTGCTTTGTATACTACGTCCTTAGTCATGCATTGTTTCTGAAGTGGGCATGATAGTTTGTTTCTGAAGTAGGCATACCGCCTGATGATTCTTTACTGATGAAACAGACTGTTGCGGAATTTTGAGGTAAGCGAAATTCTACATTTGCTCTATCTTTATGATATTGAGCACTCTTTGCGTTTCGTATACACAAACCTACTCGTATATATATATATATATATATATATATATATATATATATATATATATATATATATATATATATATATATATATATATATAAATATATATATATATACAGGGTGTATCAAAAAAGTAAGACAATTTTGAAATTGCTCTAAATTCCACAATTCTGTTCATGAAATGTAATTTTTTATATTTATGGATTGCTTGAGTTCTTAAATTATGGAAAATATAAAAAAAATTGAAAATAGTAAATTTTGCTATCCAGGGGGGTGGTCGGCTTTTGCTCTCCTAAAAGTGGCTTGCGCACGGAAATGACAAACGGTATTCTTTATTTGAGTTCATGTATGAAAAGTTCACTATTTGTTGCATTTATGATAAAATTTCGGCAGGATTTTACCGAGTACAAATCCTCCGAATAGCCTATGAAAACGTTACATTTTTCTCTGTTGGTGCTGTTCTGGCTTCATTATGAATTCATTTTTACTCCCATGAGAGTTCCGTGGAATTTCCATGGAATTTGTGCTTTCGAGTTGTTTGTGCTGAAACGCGTTCCTTCGTATAATACCCCGTACACTTTGAAATGGCGATGCCACAATTTACCCCGCAGCAGATACTTTTATGCATGGTATCCGAGTTCCTCTGTAGCAACAACATAAACTTGGTTCGCCAAAGTTTCACGAACGAATATCCAGACTTGTGTACGATGCCCTTCACGTATAGTCGCACGTGAAGGGCATCGTACATCTGGATATTCTTGAAACTTTGGCGAACCAAGTTTATGTTGTTGCTACGGAGGAACTCTGATACCATAAAAGCTCTCTGCTGCGGGGTAAATTGTGGCATCGCCATTTCAAAGTGTACGGGTATTGTACGAGAAAATGCGTTTCAGCACAAACAACTCGAAAGCGCAAATTCCATGGAAATTCCATGGAACTCTCATGGGAGTAAAAATGAATTCATGATGAAGCAAGAACAGCACCAACGGAGAAAAATGTAACGTTTTCATAGGCTTTTCGGTGGATTTGTACTCGGTAAAATCCTGCCGAAATTTTATCATAAATGCAACAAATAGCGAACTTTTCATACATGAACTCAAATAAAGAATACCGTTTGTCATTTCCGTGCGCAAGCCACTTTTAGGGGAGCAAAAGTTGACCACCCCTATGGATAGCAAAATTTACTATTTTCAAAATTTTTTATATTTTCCACAATTTAAGAACTCAAGCAATCCATATATAGCAAAAATTACATATATATATATATATATATATATATATATATATATATATATATATATATATATATATATATATATATATATATATATATATATATATATGTATATATATATTTATAATATAGCCATTCACCGTATATGAGCTGTTCTGCAATGTGATGAATTACTCGCCGTATATCAGCTCATATACGGCGAGTAGCGAAAAACAAGATGGCGGTCCAAAAACTACATGAGTTTTGCGAAGCAGAAAAAAGGAAAATATTCGCTTTGAGAAAGTAATAGTACAAGGAAAAACTCTCATAAAAATTTGAGAGGTTAGCAAAATACATTTATTACATAGAACAGTTTAAATACACGTTTTTTAATGAATTAATAGAAACAACAGCGAAAAAAACATGTTCATTGTCCATTGAGAATATAAATTGTTCAGAAAAGTTTGCGACGAAAGACAAATGAATTTGCAGTCAACGAGCACTTACTATATTACCAAACATCTGTATAATATATCTGAGCTTTTCTGAGAGATATACTTCGGTTCTAAAACCATTTCTTGCACTTCGTCTTCGAGTTGTAAAACAAAAGCATTTCAAATTTTCATGGCCAAGCGGTTTTTGGCCGAACAAATTGTCAAGATATTGTAACAGAGGATAATTAATTATTACTTCAGTTAATGGGTATTAGACTATATTAATGGGTATTAGACTCGGTGCTACGCACCTCGTCGGCTGTCAGCTCATATACGACTCGAGCTAATGGTATATAATTGTTAAATATAATTATATAGAATTTCGCTTACCTCAAAATTTCGAAACAGTCTGTTTCATCAGTAAAGAATCATCAGGCGGGCATGACCAAGCGGGCATACCGCCTGATGATTCTTTACTGATGAAACAGACTGTTGCGGAATTTTGAGGTAAGCGAAATTCTACATTTGCTGTATCTTCATGATATTGAGCACTCTTTGCGTTTCGTATACACAAACCTATACTCGTATATATATATATATATATATATATATATATATATATATATATATATATATATATATATATATATATATATATATATATATATATATATATATATATATATATATATATATACACACATATATATATATATATATATATATATATATATATATATATGTATATATATATATGTGTATATACCTCAAAAAACCACAACAGTCTGTTTCATCCGTATAGGAATCATCAGGTGGTCCTATCCTATGATTTCTATTCGGATGAAACAGACTGTTGTGTTTTTTTTAGGTAAAAGGAAAAACTATAACTATGTATATATATATATATATATATATCTTTGGCCAAAGATGCCTAAATATCCAAAGATGCCTAAATATATATATATATAAATCTTTGGCCAAAGATGCCTAAATTGGTCTTTAGAACGCCGGAATTTTACGTTTTCAATTAGTTTTATTAAGTTGTCTTCGAAAGGTTTCAAATGTGGAATTGAGGAGGCGATTTGTTAGACGAAAGGCAGAAAAGGTTGCTTTGGTTTTGAGTTGTTGATCCTTTTAGGAAGAAATTAGCTTTCTATCTCATACGTTTTGTTACGCTTTGCAATTTTTCAATCAAATTCTTTAAGTAAGTATCCTGGGATGGTGTAGATCGATACTGACACCGATACCGATATTTCAATTTAGTACCGATTAGCCGATACCGATACACCAAATATGGATATTGGTGCTTCACTACCCAGGACGCAGAAATCATGGTCTAGTCTCACAGGCAAAATTTCAAATTTTAACCCATAAAGTTGCATTGCACTCCTACGTTATTGTATTCCTGTCTAATACTAATTGACAGACAATTTTATTTGTAAGTGGAAGTGCTGGTGGTTAATGGGTTAATCTGAGCATGTGTCGAGTGATTCATTAATTTGCTTTGTATCTCTATGTGCTTACGTCCTTGTTCTATTAATGTCTTTAAGCCATATATTAAGTGCCAGCGTTCTCCCCTTGCATGACAAGTAAAATCATCTGGCATTAGACAGAGTAAAATAATAAAATGGGGCGCAGCAGGGTGCAATGCAACTCAATCAATGGGTTAATGCCAAATTGTTGTATACTCTGTCTAACGCGAGACAATTTTAATTGTCAAGACTCAAGTGGAGAGTGCTAATGCCTATAATGTATTAATGGTCATTTATAATGCAAATCATAAATCAATCTAGCTTGAATTACACATGCACATTGCCTTTTTATCACATTTCCGGTAGCAAATGCTGAATGAACAAAATCCACTGTTCATATAATTGATACTTTTGAGTACAGAATGGAAGGCTTTGCCTTGTGGTGAGTTGTTGGCACTGACTTCCACTCACTCTAATGGGTAATCATCTAAGTCAAGATTCTGGTATAAAATCTACCAAAAAAGGAAAATCCATTTTCTATAATAACACTCACCATGTAGAAATTTTAAGCAGCTTTCCCTTGCCGGTAAGTTGGCTGTAATATAGGTATGCTGGTAATGAAAATACAAGATTGGGCAATCTCGTTAACGGAAGTAATTACGCAACTCAAATGTCAACAATAATTTTTACTTGCGTATCGAAAATATGCCGCCTGTTAATGCTTTCGAGGGAACTCTTATATTTCAAGTATTTAGGCTTCGAAATTCATTTGAAACCAGAATAGAGAAAGTCTATTATTAATTTGCTTCGTTGTGAAGACGCCGGTTATCACGATTCTTCCTACGGAATACGGAAAATCGGCAAATCAATGCTTGCCCGAGAGGCAGGGATCGAATATTCGTTATAGTTGTCTTGTTATTTGTTCACTTTAAAGTGTAATTCAAGACCAGTTAGTTGAGGCTACATCACTTGGCATTGCAGCTATGAGGTTGGATGATGATTTTAAGAATAACATTCCAAACATGCTCAACTGTTATTAGCAGTTAATTTGCTATTCGGCAGAATACGTTAAACAACCGTGGTTCAGGAGCGTTTTAAAAGATAAAAGCTCTGTGACTGTGTTGTGACTGTTGTCTAAAATAGCTTCAAAAACTCATTAATAATTCATAAGAAAAAAACACAAAGTAAAATCATAAACGTGTATCTTTATATGTGATAGAGATTTCCCTTGATTTATATAAACTTTAACTTTGATTTTCTTCAGGCCTACATACACAACGAATTTTTTGAAAGCTATTTCGCCAATGAACTTATACTAGATCGATCGTTTTAGAAGCAATTTAAAACATTCGCATGCGGTGCGTGTTTTATCAGACCATCTTTATATCTGATAAAACACTGCTGCTCATCTTTTAAATAGTACTTCAAACACTCATTAATAATTCATAAGCTTATTGGCAATTCATGTCAACCATAATATATCACGTGCAGTGGCTTTAAACCTGATAAAACACTCCTAATTAGTATTCTTTATATAAAGAATAGTAATAAGGCAATATCTATTGTTGTCGTGTCCTCATTAGTATTTTTTATATAAAGAATACTAATAAGGCGGTATGTCTATTGAATTTGTAGTCGTGTTTGAAGCCGTTTAATAAACTCGCAGGCAGGGCCGCAGAGAGGTTGGTGGGAGCCCGGGGCAAATATTTTTTTGGGGGCCCTTATCCCAAAAATTTTTTCCGGAAAAATGTTTTTCCGGATAACAACCTCCCCCCCCCCCGGTCGCCAAAAAATTTTCGGTCAGTGTACCATTTTAGGGGTAAAATATTTTTCCGGGCGAGTGCGTTGCTGTGCCTTTCAAGTGACTTTATCTCATTTCTTAATGCCAAATTTCGGTACTTTGCTCAAGAAAACAAATATCTTGTCCTTTGCGCGGAAAAATTTAACACACAAAAAAGATTGGGGCCCAACAAAAATTTTTCAGGGGCCCCCAGCACCTCGGAGCCCGGGGCAATTTCCCCCCCCCTCTCGGCGGCTCTGCTCGCAGGTCGTGTTTTATTAGCTCTAAAGCCACCCGCGCTGCGCGCTCGTGCCTTTAAACCTAATAAAACACTCCTGCTCGTTTATTAAACAGTACCGATAAAATCTCTGCAAATCTACCTAGTTGCCGAGCAAAAAGCATGGATGATGCTAAATATAAATCTCGACTATGATTGGATGATGGGTGAAGGTGCTAATTACAAAACGTCAATCATCCTTAATGGGCGAAAACA